GTGATTAATTAAATAATTAATTTTTCCGGAAGTATGTAAAAAATGTGTCTCGGAAAAATTTCAAAAGGGAAAATTTTTTTAAATTTAAACGATAAATAAAATAAAAAAAAAAAAATTATTACAAAATTTACTTTCAATTTATTATTATTATTATTATTAAGCGAATGAAATTTTACGTTCATGTAATAATTAGTCCACGTTGCTATTTTTTTCGGGGGGGGGGGGGGTAAAAAAAAAATAAAAAGAATTTTAATTATATTTTAATAATACGACATACAAAAAATTAGAGTATTTTTATTTCAGTGTTTGTTTACGAAGGACAACCAGAATAAGAACAAACGGAAAAATATACATATACAAATAAACATAGACCATCGATCTACAATTATGTTGTTATGGTTGCCGTTTCCGGTCAATCCCTATAATTATTATTATTTTTTTTTTTTTTTTTATTATCGACGTACCTACGTACGTATTTATCAACTATCATTCGCTAATATTTTTTTTTCTGTTTTTTTCCCTTTTGAAATTTAAAAAAAAATTTCTCGTGATGACGTATAACGATACAAATAATAATAATAATAATAATAATAATAATTTTTATACGTAGAAAAAGAAAATGAGTGAATAAAAGTAATTAAAAATCCGAACGTTATATTGTGTGTTTGTTTAAAAAAAAAAAAAGGATTTTTTTTTTTTAGTGTGGGTAAAATATTTTTCTGAAGAAAAAAAAAAAAAGTGCGAATGGAAACGCCTGTCAGGTACGTATTAAGACCACCTATAAGGAAAAGGTAACAAGCCAATCATTGAAGGGCACGTCATGACACACACACACACACACTCAGGTGGTATAATAAATTTTATGAAATATTTGTTTTCCTTTTTTTTTCCCATCTAAATATCTTTGCTTGCTTCTTTTATTATTATCATTATTATTATTTTTTATAATACCTTAATTATGGAAAAAAACTAAATCGTATTGAAACCTGAAAAATTTGAGGAAAATTTTTTTTTTTTTTAAATTTTCCGGGGGGCGAAGGGTTTATAATCATAACAAAAAAAGGAAAAAAATTTTAAAATGATAAAGAAAAAAAAAGAAAATTTTTTATATGATGATGATGGCGATGGTGGTGACGGTGGTGATGATGATGATGATGATGAAATATTTTCTCGCTTCATATCGTGTTTATTTTTTTTTTTAATAGACGAGAGAGAGAGAGA